ATGTGGGCACAACACTAGATACCCAGACACCTATTCATACGTTATCTACGTATTGAAGTTCCAGCACCTATTTGAAAGAGATGCTATTCAGGCCTCAGTGCCTTATTACTTTTTGTTTTCATGTCAGGATATATTTTTTGAATTCTGTTACTTTAAAATGACTGTGACTGACTTAAATGACTGACGAAAAACAGGGAGAATATTTAATTTAATAAAAAATGTAATTATTTTTCATAAGATAACCTAATATATAAAATTCTCGTGTCACAGTGTTAGAAGTTGAACTCCTCCAAAACGGCTAGACCGATTTTCGTGAAATTTTGTGTGCATATTGGGTAGGTCTAAGAATCGGCCAACATCTATTTTTCATACCCCTAATGTTTTTTTTTGAAATAATGTATATGGCAAAACAACGTTTGCGGGGTCAGCTAGTTTAATTATAATATTATCAAACAGCTTTAAGTTAACTATTTTGGTTGCTCATTACAATTTGTTCTTATTGTTTACAGAGATTGACAGTTTAATTTGTTCATTTTCTCAAGGAAAAGAAGATTGAATCTTAACCTCTGCATTACAATCTTAAACTAACTTTTGACTATTACGGCCAACGCATCCCCTAAATTGCCCTATAATACTTAGAGTGACCTAGATTATTTATAATATAAATAAGAACACTTTGACGAATGGAAGCCACTAAACATCATACACATTCTATAGGTTTTGATCAGGGGAAAGCACTGGCCATTTTTTTTTCTACGTGTGGAAACCCCATCGGGCCGTCCCCCCACCGGGATTTACGGCGGGGTGGTGTGTAGGAATCGGACCGACTAAAACCACACGGTGTGCCACTCTGCGCCGGTAATAGAAGGGATCCGGGAACTGCTGTTATTAAGCCATCCGGACCCTTCCTAGCGCCTGCCCGCAATGGCGCGGGCACCACTTTCGGGTACATTCTCTATTTAGGCGACGCGGACGTCGCTGGAAAGCACGCTTCCGCCGCCCGGTTCGCCGGCGGCGAATTGGGTCCGAGTGGAGGTCATCCAGGTCCGGGAATCGAACCCACTAAGGCAGCGCTTTTCAAATTCCACGCGAACGAAGTCGCGGGTACCAGTTAGTCTATATATATAAGAGGTTTCCACGGATATAGTCACTCATCACGATATCTCTGGAACCATTAAAGACTTGAAATTTGGTAGGAATATTCTTTTCACCGAGTAGAGGTCAGCTAAGAAAGGATTTTAAGAAATTCAATAAAAAGATTTTTTTAAATAATGTAAATAGCAAAACAACGTTTGCAGGGTCAGCTAGTCTTGAATAAAATAAATTCACTAAATTCTTCCTCGAGATAAACTGGTAGCAAACGCCCCAGTAGGTAGCTTTATGTCGTTCAAAACCTCGACGTAATGGAAGTGTAGTTGGTTTAGAACCATTTGATTCACATTCACCAACCATTAAGCGTTGCTGAGACTGAGGTAGGCCGAAGGTAGGCCTCCGACCGAGGAGGTCGACATGGGGGCTGGTCGCTTCTGCCATGCGATTACGCAGATTTGCGATGCGGCCATGCCCCGCGTTCGTGGTTGTCGGCCTCCAAGGAAGGAGGTCTACTGGTGGTCCCAGGAGTTGGCGGACCTCCGTGCGGCCTGTGTACGTGCCCGGAGGTCCCTCACCCGCAGTCGGCGACGTCACCGCGGGGTCGGTGAGGAGGTGGACCGGCTTCATGAGGAGTACCGAGAAGCTCGGAAAACTCTGAGGCTGGCCATCTGCCGCGCCAAGGATGCGTGTAGAGAGGAGATGCTGGAGAGTCTCGAGCGTTAAAAGCTCCGCACGTCGGGCCCCCCCCTTACGGAGACTCTCCAGCCCAGCTTCCTGCAGGAAGTGGTCGAGGGCCTATTCCCGCAGCGGGCGGAGCACACGCCCCCGTCGATGGCTGCAACAGCCGGAGACGACGGAGGCAGCGAGGGTGATGTTCCGCCCGTCAGGGAATCGGAGTTGGGGGCGGCTGTTCTACGGATTCGATCCAAGAATACCGCCCCCGGGCCGGACGGGGTTCCAGCCCGAGTGATGGCCCGAGCCCTCGACTACATGTCGGACCACCTCAGGGGGGTGTTGGACGCTAGCCTGGCGTCCGGACGCTTCCCTGAGCACTGGAAATGCGGGAAGCTGGTCCTGCTGCAGAAGCCGGGACGGCCTGCCGATTCGGTCGCGGCCTATAGGCCTATAGTGTTGCTGGACGAGGCGGGTAAACTTTTTGAGAGGGTGCTCTCTGCCCGCATCGTCCGGCACCTTTGCGAGGTTGGCCCCGATCTGTCGGACGCCCAAATCGGTTTCCGAGAGGGGCGTTCGACGATCGATGCCGTAATGCGCCTTAGGGACGTGACCGAGGAGGCCGTGAGCTGCGGCGGAGTGGTGTTCGGCGGTGTCCTTGGACATCGCCAACGCCTTCAATAGTCTGCCATTCAGCTGCATCAGGGAAGCGCTCCGCTACCACGGAGTGCCGGAGTACCTGAGGCGGCTGGTGGCAGACTATCTTGAGGAGCGAACCGTCATGTACGAGGACCGAGATGGCGTCTTGAGACGCAGGGCCATGTCGTGCGGTGTTCCGCAGGGGTCTGTCCTAGGACCTCTCCTGTGGAACATCGGGTACGACTGGGCCCTACGAGGGCGTCTCCCCCCCGGGCTGGGTGTAATCTGCTACGCGGATGACACCTTGCTCACGGCCCGGGGGGCTAACTTCCAGGAGGCGGCGCGCCTGGCCGCCACGGGAGTTTCCCTGGTGGTCGGGCGCATTGAGGCGTTGGGTTTGCGGGTGGCCCTGGATAAGACGGAGGCCCTATTATTTCATGGGCCCCGTCGTGGTCCACCCGCCGGCGCCTCAATCGAGGCCGGCTCGGTCCTCGTACCGGTCCGGGCCCAGATGAGGTACCTGGGTCTGGTCCAAGACGGTAGGTGGCTCTTCGACGAGCACTTCCGACAGCTTGGTCCGAAGCTGGTGGACACTGCCTCCGCCCTAGGGCGACTTTTGCCCAATTTGGGCGGGGCCAGTGTTCCCACGAGGCGGCTGTACGCGGGGGTTGTCCGGTCCATAGCGCTTTATGGTGCACCGGTGTGGGTGGCGGCTCTGACCGCCCCGAATAGGGCGCGCCTCTGACGCCCCCAGCGGATATTGGCGGTCAGAGCCATACGCGGATACCGCACGGTGTCCACCGAGGCGGCTTGCGCCTTGGCCGGAACACCCCCGTGGGATTTGGAGGCGGAAGTGCTCGCCGAAGTTTATCGGCGAGTAGCTGACTTCCGGGCGGAGAGCGGATTTAGCCCTCCGCCCGAAGACGAGCCACTATGGTGAGATGGTCGTTCCGGCTGGAGACTCCACGCGCTGGCTTCGCCGCCGTGGAGGCTCTCGGCAGGGCGGCAGCACGGGACCCTTTCCTTCCGGCTGACGCAGGTGCTTTCCGGGCACGGTTGCTTCGGAAAGTACCTGTACTCGGTCGCTAGGAGGGAATCGAGTCCCGCCTGCCACCACTGCGACTGCGGTGAGGATTCGTTTGTTTGCCCCGCATGGGCGACGCAGCGCCGGGCCCTCACTGCAGTCATCGGAGCAGATCTCTCGCTACCGGCCGTAATTCGCTCCATGGCCGGTAGCGACAGTTGTTTTACCGCGGTCGCAACCTTCTGCGAGGAGGTAATCTCGCAGAAGGAGGCGGCGGAGAAGGCCCGGGAGGACGACCTCCACTCGGACCTGATCCGCCGCCGGCGAACCGGGCGGCGGAGGCGCGCTCACCTGCGCCTCATGCCGCCCTTAGTGTGGCCGCGGGTGGACGGGATGGGTTCTCCCCTCCACCCGCATTAGTTGGCCAGCCGCGAGGGGGCGGCGTCCGCGTGTGCCGGACGCCGCCTAAAGAGAGGGTCCACTGAGACGGAGCCCGCGCCAGGAGCGGGCCGGCGCTGGGAGGGGTCCAGAAGGAGATAGCTACCTGGACCCTTCCTAAACTGGAAGCGCAAAGAGGGCACACCGTGTGGTTTTAGTCGGTTCGAGTCCGACACACCGCCCCGCCGAACGAGAGCCCCGGCGGGGTGACGGTCCGAGGGGATTTCCACACGTAAAAAAAAAAAAAAAGGCCGAAGGTAGGCCTCTCCTTTCTAAAGAGAGGCCTATGTTCAGCAGTAAACTGTTATAGGCTATTCATGATGATGATCAGACTGGCGACATAACAAGTGGCGACTGGTTATAAAACTGTTTATTCAACGTCTCACAGCTTTTTTCTAAAAAATAATGATTCTTATGAGACATTTTGATCCAATACTTAAAATATTATAAAATAAAATCATACACCACGATTTTCATCACACAATCCATCAAAATAACTAAGCGGGTTTCATATGATATTTCAGATATTAAGGCCATGTTAAGCTATAACACCGATATTTGCTTGCATTTTGAATACAGATATTCAATATTATTACAGAATACAGATATAAACATTAGTAGCAATTAATACCACAAACGCTTCTAAGTTCACTAACCGACATCAAAAGTTGATTGTGTTTTTTGAAACAATAAAATAGTTTATTGTTTCAAATCAACCCTCAAGTTTTATTTTTTCCTCGAATTCTCAAAAAGTTACTGCAAGGTTGCATGAGTTTTGAAACGGCGGCATTTGTATTCACAGCAGTCCACAGCAGCACCATGTGGACAGTTATTAACTGCGTTGGAATTAGTTACTATAATCATACTAATACGCGTGCGTGCAGCGTGTATATTATGTGTGTGTGTGTGATATACGTTAATAGAAGAAGGTTATAAGTCCAACTAGTTATAATGCTATAACTTTGTAAAAATGCTACTGGACTTATTACCGACTTTGATTGACGAACGTATGAAAGGTCTTGTGATTGTGGAAAACGGCGCTCCATTGTCTCCGCCTGATTCGGTGTAAGCCTACGTATGTTTACAACTTTTCCAGGTCGACACGTTGAATATGGCACTAGCATTTTCTTTACAGGCCCAACAGTAAAGACGGCTTTGCCGCAACTGCCGCACCGTTCGCCCATTCAGCCACCACAGAGATACCTGAATGAGTACCTTATGCCACGACTTCTAGTTCCTAACTACTTCGGCTATGACAACACCATACGAGCCAACCCTCCTCGAGACGAACACGAATGGCTTAACAAGGTAAGAATGTCTTTACAATTTAAGAACTCAACAATGACACAGTATAAGATTATACAATAAGTAACATAATTTCAAAGTTGTCAGTTGCAATATTTGAAAGATTTTTAGTTTGAAATTTTTATTTTGCTTAGATTTCAACTCCCTAGTTATCTAAAAAATAAAACAGACACTGTAGAAATGTGAGTCGCCATTCCGAGTGCTTAATATCACACTTCAGTAGCTCGGTTACTGAAGCTCCGATGTGTATACTATTCAACCTCGATTGGTACTTTTCTTTCTGTAACAAATTATTAAATATCAAAAGAAGGATGACAACAACATTTCGTAACCGTAAACGTTTCGTTGACCTGGCAAATACACTTAAATTAGCGTGGATTGCTTGTTTCCTCTGAGCTGATCTAAGTGAGTTAATTCACTTGGAAATTACTTGCGGAATAGCTAGGCTTTCTATCAAGTCCAACGCCCTGAGAAGCAACAACATCAGTCGTCAAATAGATACTCTTACCCCCAAATATCTTCTACTGTGCTTACAAATGCAGTTAATGATTCAATTGTTCTATATCATCATCTATGAGTATATATATATGTATGAGAAAGAAAGATATTGTTCTATATATATATATATAGAACAATATCTTTCTTTCTCAAACGCATTGAACACTGATGATATTGCGACATCTACAAAAAATATTCTGTTTCTAGGCTTTATAAAACCAATAAAAATTCCGAATGTAAAACTAGTAGCCTAGCTTTGCTCGCCGGAAGGACAGAATAACGGAGTAGGAATTCTAAACGCGCTCACAAGCCAATCTCTAAGTGGAATTCGAAAATAAATTCTGTGAGGCAGTTATTTTTGTTATTTAAACTTCGGTTATTGGAATTCTACTAGTCACATAGTTTAATTAGATGGATTAAACGATGTTACGTGATATGATCATGTTAATCTTGTTGTAATTACTTTGCTTGCTATGACATTAATTAAAATGAGTTTTAGAAAACAACTTCCTATGCGATGAATAATAACTTACGGTAATGCCAATTTTAAACTACAAAGACTTAATAGTGCGAGTATAATTATATGGCACGTACTGACCCAATTCCCTGAGTCAATACCAACAAATAACATTGGCAGTTTGAAGATTATTAATTCAATACAAAGACAGAAAGTTTATTAAAAGTGGGACACTTATAAAGATAGTGTAGAAATATGCACACTGCACGAAGGCTACTGTAAGCAGGAAAGCTAACCGTATGCCATCATTTATACTTCAGACTGATAAACCATTTAGGAAGGCGAATTTTATGATAATTTTATATTGCTCCTTGGTGAGGAGTGTAGTAGAATATTGCTCATCTGTATGGCCACCAATTTATAATGTACATACAGATCGTATAGAGGCGATTCGGAGGCGATTTATTTTAGCTCTGTGTTCAAAGTAGCTCATACGACGAAAAATACCGGAATATGTTGAACGAATCCGAAGATTCTCCCTAACAACTCTGAAACATAGAAAATGGATGAATGACTTGTGCACCCTATATAAATTTGTAAATTGTACAATGGATGGCCACCTTGTTGAATATTTAGACATAAAACACCAACTCGATCTGTGCGTTTCCCACTGCTGTATAGTGTTCCAACAACAATGTGTCTCAGATTAATCCTTTACACAAAATGTGAAAAAATTATATTGCTAATTGCTCACAGGTAGATATTTTTCACGACAAGCTTAGATCCTTCAAATTTTTCTTGCTACATTACATTACAACCCAATAAGACCTTTGTAGTTAATTTTAGTTTATAAGTATCCATTTTCATTTAGTTAAGTTGTTTTTTTTTCTCTATATTTTATTTAAATCTTTTTCTGTACAAATTTACATTTAAATCCAACCTTTACTATTATTGAAAACGAAGCATTGTTTGCATTGAAAGTTGTTACACAGTTGTTGACAGTTATACATTGGACTGCAGGTTCGCTCACCATTTATTACTAAGGACACTTTTTGTATGTCTTATTCTGTTGTCTGTATCTGTACCTATTGAATAAAATAAAATAATATTATTGAATAAACTTCTATGGATTGTACTATGTAGGTAGAACAAAATATGTCCTTATTATAGATTTGTTCTTTTATTTACCTCTAGGATTCTCATTTAGCCCACATCTGATCACAAGAAATACAGGGGCTGTCTTTTCATAATGTTTAAAAAACGTGAATACCACTCACTGATTAATCTCGAAAACTCAGGTTCCTTTGAATGACGCAGATTGAATTAGTTACAAGGTTACGGATTTCTCGACCCTCTCTTCTATAATAATAATTCATATAATAATAATAATAATATTTAATATTATTAATAATTTAATATTTATTTTAATTATTTAGAAAACCTGAGTGAGGTTACCGGAGACCCAACCCCTAATTGTAGGGTATTCAAGGGGCGGCAAATATGCTTGAGTGCTCAAGATGCAAGTGTCCATGAACGGTGATACTTACTTACCATCATGTGTCCCATCGGCTCGTTCGCCCCTATACTGTATAAAAAGAATACATATGCATGCTAAGGCCTCTTCGATCAAGTAATATGTAGTATTTTAAAAAAAGAAATGTGACAGAGACCCATTAAAGTAAATAACAGTTCACTACCCTGATCGGCAGTGAATAAAAAATAATCAATTATGTGATCTACGAACCAAGTCCAATTGTATATAATCAGGGTATAGGCAGTAACAGATAATATCAAACTATTCTGGGAAACAAGGGTAATTTACAGTTGAAAGCATATGCCGCGTACCTTTAATTAAAAGTCTATTGAACTAAATTTAATTATGGGTTAAAACCAACGTTATTGATCAATTGAAAGCTTTTATTCGTATTGAAGTATTTTGTAGCTAAAGTCTCTGTTACACAGAGTTCAATTTTAAATAATTCGTACGTATATTTTTTGTAGAGAAAAGAAGCGTTCAGTTGAAGGTGACAATAATATTTAACTCGGCTTTACGGCTTTGTAGAGTTCTGAACTTTTCTAATAGTCTGTTTTTTAAATTATCCCTGAAACGTTTAATATCAATTTTAGCCATGATTAAATATTTTTCTACATCTATAAGTATTTTGAATTTGAAAAGAACCATCTATCTGTTTGTTTGTAATTAATTTTGGCACAGGGATGGACAAACCTTGGTAAACGAAATGGTTACGTTGTATCACGAAAATGTTACTTGAACATAGTGAAATGGTGAAATGATGGAGCAAAATAAAAGTTTGTTCAACAAGGATTCTACGCAAACGAAGCGCGGCCTTCAAATAGTAATAGAACGACATATATTGAGATATATTGTGTGATATATTGAGATTTCGTGTTAGGTAAAATTTTCATAATTTAACAAAAAACTTAACTCTTAAAATGTTGTTGTATATGGGGAAATATAGGGTATTAAATCATTGGAAATATTAGGACTCAGCTAATTTATTGGCAAAATACCACTCCGACTTATGAAGCATTTTATGGCAGTGTCTTGGTATGACAACAAGAAATCAATAGGACGAAAATAGCGAATAGCGAGTTGCTGTGAATTTATGTGAATTCTATACTTTTACTTACTATTTTGTACTTTTCAATATCAAGAAAAGCACGAGTATAAAGAAACTATGTTAGGTATTTAACGATCTAATATACAGCTTAAACGTTTTTTACAGTCAGAAAAAATATTACTATTAACATAAAAAATATTGTAATTATTTGTAATATCTCCATTTTATCAAAAACAAACCACTTGTCAGTTAGCATAGCTTCTTGTCTTTTCGCAATTTTATTTTGGGTCGTCACAATATGTAACATTACTTTTGGCTGGTATTTTCTGTGGCCAATTACTGCCAAGGAAGTTCTGTAAGGAAAAAAGGGTATCGCGCGCAAGCTAGAGTAAATCCTATTCTATTTTGTCGTGTACCCGTCTGTCAGTCTTATTATCAAATATCGCCTCGATCAAACGATAGGAACATCAGATGATCATTCTCAGATGTAGATTCCCAGACCGGCTGGCTAGTAAGCCAGTAGGAAGTGGAGGGTAAAAGGGAGTAATTTGGAAACGGAGATTACGGCCTGATTTTTAGTAGTTTCTTTTTACTCACTTTAGATAGTTTTCTTTATATATTTGAACTTCTCCGGGTTTCAAGCTTATCAAATCAAAAATACGAGAGACTTTCTCTGTAGGAGATAATGTTTTATCTTCTCAACCAATAGGATCACAATGCAATCCGTGAAGACTGTGAGAAAGAAATCAGACATCTTTACTTACTGGTAATGCGATTAGCTTTGATGTTTGAAGAAGAATGGTCGTGAGTTTTTAATGTTGCTTTATTTCCGTAGCCTTTTCCTGCTGCTTTGAGAGCTTGGAGCAAAATATAAATGTCGTTTCAAGTTTTTATAAATACATCTCTGCAATAACAATGTGGATAATAAGTAAATACTTTTGGTTCCTTTGTTTAAAATTATATGATTATAAACGTTTAATCTGAGCTCTAAAAATATCACCACTTAAACTGGACACAGTTGTACGCACAGCTTTGCTAGTAAAGTACGGTAAAAAGTATTTAAACTAAATTTTAGAAGTAAAATAAAATAATAGTAACTGAGACATCCATGAAAACCTCATATTTTTAATAAGAATATGGAATAACATTTTTTACTGTTTTTATCGCAATTTTACCCACACGAACATAGTCTAGATTTATTTTTAACCGTAAAAGAATTAAATATTTTAGTATGCCACATTATGGCATAAAATATGTTAAGTAATATTTCCTAAATTGATAGATAAATATAATGTGTGTTATTTACCTAACAAGGTATTACATAATAGGTTTATTTATATATTTATATCTTTTCCTACTCTGATCTAACTTATAATTCACTGATTAAATGCTATAACAACGAAACAAATTTTAAATATAACATTGTTTTCGTATATATTGATGTCTATGGCACATCACTTATCTCATCTTCAATGCAACAATTAACTTTCGGTCGTATCGTACCGTACACAGTCTGAATATTGGACGTAAGCCTGAAGCTACGCACGAATGCGATATGCGAGTGCGCTCAACACTAGCTATTGTTTTTCGTGAATTACTTTCTTTTCAACGCACAATGATCAGACAGTGAAAAGTGACTAACTGTGAAAAGTGGTTTTATATCGATTGAAATAATGAGAAAAGGCAGTGATGTATTTCTAAGCCGCCCCCAACGTTCAGTATCATTTTCAACAAAATTCTAAAATTGAACATATTTAATACAGGAAATTGATCGTTTAACAAAAATGGAAGATGAAGCGGCGTTGAACCCGATAGACCTGGAATTTTCACGTTGGATGTCTCAAGACCCGTATGCGGAACGACCCTATGAAGGACCGATCATACCACGTGACATGCCGCGCTACATGCCAGATTCTCCCGTTGAAGATGTTTACCCTCTTCTGTCTCCTAAAGAAGTAATTTTACCTGACACTGTACCAGAAAAAGAAGAAGTAAAATTACCAAAGACAGTTGAACCCAGGGCAAAGAAAGAGAATTTCGCAATGACACCCCTTGATAAAGGTTTCTTTGAACCAGAAGACAAAGTTATTCCCGAACGTAAGTTTTTTTATTAAGTGATATGCTGATATTATACGTTCAATTAATTAGCATCGATGGCATACCATAGATTGACCAAGACATTTTTTGTATCTGTATTTTTTTTAACTAATTCTTGCGTTAAGGAATACGTCGCTGAGGTTCTTTTTAGAGCTTGGTTATTGTCAAACATATTACTTTTAATTCGTACCTTAGCTACCGGATTGCAAATTCTTTTAATTATTCCTTTCAAATAAAATAAAACGGTAAAAGTCCAGGATGTATTATCAAGAAAATACTAACTTGCTTCATATTCTACATAATACTACTACGGTGAACTCCAGTCTAAAACAAGCTTCAACTTTGTGAGAGATATTATTGATAGAATGTAGTTAACATGCCAGTGTAATATGTTTCCAACTACATTCAAAGTAATAATATTAATTAATATTTCCCAGCGAATGTTCTGAGCGACCCATCCGAAAGTTTACCGTAATATTACACGGAGTTAAATGTCAACATAACAGAAACTAGATCTACCACATGTCAGATGATTGATAATATCAATTACTCACAAACAATTTTTGAAAATATAAGAAAACGAATTGGCTTATTCCTTTAATACCTATACCTATTGCCTACTGACTGATGATCTGTCAAATTTAATTGGAAAAGAAAACCCAAAACTTTCGAGCACGTTTCTTACGCTCTACAACTAATTTCTCAAGTCCTTAACTTGTGTTCCTGATAGTTTTGACAGCAACATAAAAGTTGTAATGCAATTCTTTAAGTCTGTACGTGTGTTTCTTGTCTCGTTATTTTAAAACCGCCTCTGTCCTTAATGATTTGAACTTGACATTTTATATTTACATTCTTTTATATTTAAATCATTGTATTGTATCATGACCTATTCAAATATCAAATATTTTTTACGTTTTGCTATGAAAAATATATTAAAAGCGGACAACTTGTAACTCGAAGAAGATATTGCAGAATCTAGCGGACCACACGAAGGAGGACAAGCAAATTTCATAGAGGTATCACCACCACGTCCAATTCGACAGAATCCTAATTTGGGTAGATCAAGGAACCTCGTGGCTGACAATCTGGGCACTCTACGAACCGGACTGTAAGTAACTTCATATTATTACTTATACTAGTTTCTACATACGATACCATATGTTACTTAAATATGATGTTCAATATTATAGGTACCTTAAAGGGTATTTAAGCAAAGTAGAAATTAGGCACGTTTTATAGTTTAGTCTGTAGCCTCTGAATAAAATGTGTAGCATCCAACGCTTTAATTTGCTACATATAACTACTTAAAATTGTAGTCCCCAGTTATCAGTTTTAGGCTCATTGTTTATTTTTGTTATTGTTACTAGAAAGAATTGTGTGTTTAATACCAAAATTATAGGGTTTATAGTTCATATAATTCAAAGACAAAACAACTTTGTATAGGCGTCCTTTACCGTAGTGTTGGGACTCTTCAAATTCACTTGTACACGAATAACTAATCGTTAAAATGTACGAATAATCGAACTAATTAATTACCAGCTGTAAGACGTCTTTTAGTATTTAATAATACTTAAATTTCAGCTAACATCCAACTAAAAGAGAAGGAAAACTTGAAACAAACCCTATACCAACCCGTCTGGCCAGCGTGGTATACCACAACCTCTTTTCTAAAGACCTCTCTTTCAACCAATGTCCAGCAGTGGACTATTAAAGGCTATTGATCTGATCCAACTAAAATGTTAATGTAATTTTAGATAAATTTTCGTAGACAAAAACGCTCGTGTCCAAGTCTCCTCAAAACCAAAACATTTTTTTTTAATTGGGCCAGGTTATGCTAAAAAAAAAATCCAAACCCCAGTCGGCCTCTTATACATTTAAATGTATAAGAGGCCGACTGGGGTTTGGATTGGTTACTGTGTATGTCAGGTACACATGTTGGCGGCCTGATTGCACCAAAATGCGATCGGGGCCGCAACCCTTGGTAATAGGCGAAGGAAGCCTCTGGCCTCCCAAAGGATAGGGTCTAGTTAGGTGCGACGTCGATCCAGGGGGGGGGGGCTTAAAATCACATGGTCCGGGTCTTCCCCAGAGTAAGGCGCCTGAGACTGACCGTCTTGGAAGTTTTTAGTGGAAACGCCAAGTACTCCTGACTGCGTCCCTTAGAAGCCAGAGTTCCAACTTGTCAAAAATAAAAGGCTAGTATACAATGGAACTCAAAAGCCAGAAAAATTATCTCTCTTAGAAAATTCTGACATTTACCTACTAATTGATAACTATTGGGATACACCAAGATTTACTTATAAAACCTAAAACTTAGAATAATAACTAGTGATGGGAATTTGTGTGTTCTTTAAGACGATATCACAAGTACGGATATGACGATATACCCGGGATTCTAGTAATTTATTCCGGCAATTATGTTAAGGCTTAATTATTTAAAATAATATAAATATTTGATAATATTTAAACTGTGTGGAAATCGAGTTTGCTTAAGGAATTTTCTTTCTTTTTTTTAAAGACAACAAGCATTAGGAATATATCCTGTGTCGCGGGGGACTTTACAAACATATATGAAACGGACACATAGGCTTATTCATTCGTATTAAGCTTTTAGATTTAAATGGTAGAGAGTTACAAATGAATAGATAGCGTCATCCTTAAAAGTGCAATAGAAAATTATTAAAACATTCTAAACATAAAATGGTTTTTTTAAGGGTACCGCTACATTAAGTCATTTTAGATATCCCAAAGTTTGTCATCGGAAGTTTACCTACTACACAATACCTTGACAAAAGTCAAACCCGATTTCGTACCAAACTAAATTTGGTCTAGGCCAAACCGATGTATCCTACATTATGCATGTCAAAATATACTAGTGTAGCTTAGAAAATCTCAATCCAATTCTTTCAGAAAATCTCACTCAAGTCAATAAACCGGTTTGGCTTAAATAAACTAGTTTAGCCTGATATTGGGTTTGCCAGCAACAATTTATTGTTTAAGATTGTTTATTGTTGGTTTTTACAAAATTGTTTAAATGTACTTGTTTTACTACTTTTTTTTGAATAAACTTTAAGTACGTATTAAATGATTATTTCATTACTTTTTAAATAATCCTAACATATATATTTTTATGATGATGATTTTTATGATGAAGTATGAATTATGTAGAAATAAAAACGTTGTATAGAAACACAACAATCATTATCATTCAGAATTCTAATTCCCGGAAATTTTTGGTCAAAGTACGGATTCCCGGGAATTTTTGATCATATCCATACTTTTGATAGTAATTGCACCCAAGATTCCGATATAATAATAACGCATAGAAACCGAAAACACGCACGAAAAATGAGCCAAGTAAAAATATGCCATTTTGGCTTAGCGGACGAACAGCGGGCGTCAGTGCTCAAATTCAAATTTTAGTGCTAACAGCTCTCGTAATTTTCATACAAATGATAGTTTGTGCAATTAACGGGTGCCACAGTACATCGGAAATGCATAACAAAAATTGTAACATAACATTCCACGTGTAAGTATTACGTTTATGCCAATATTTTGAAGTAAAACATTTTTCAAAGCAAAATAAAAACATTGAATTTCGTCTGCCGAATTTGACCGAATGTTGCAAGTTAGAATGGTTTCCCAAATTTTGATATCTATGTTCTAAAACAAAAAAAAAATGCTTCTTGTATAGGTTGGTAATTATACTCACTTGCACTGGAAGCCTTGACACAGAACGGCCAGTATTCATAAATTATATTTGATTATAATTCGGTGGAATAGTCAAATTGAATGCACTTAAGACTATTCTTTAGTTTTACTGGATAGGTGTCGTCCATTAATCGTGTGACTATACTATACTATAGCAACTTATTATATAATATATAATTGAAATATAATTTTTAGGAAATTGATAAAATCATTCGTGGAAGAATACCCTACTTTTAGGAAAAATCTGATTCCGATAGCAATATGACTTACGTACGCTAGTGTGCGTGTCGCCGAGCGTAAATACGCGTCACTTACGTCTACATCAATTTTTCTTGATCTTTTGATCTTGAATCTTTTGATATGTAACTGTCCTTCTGATATACCAATATATGGGCTTTACAGTAACATATCTATAAAACTGTAGTCGATTAGTGAATACAAAGAAATGATATCGATATCTCTTAAGAATCGGATATTCCAGAAATCGATTTCTTTCACTGTCAAACGACAGTCAAGGAAATCAGAGACTAAATTTGTACAATATTATTTTATAGTTGCAGCCTTATTTTAAATTTATTTTTATCAATCCATATTAAACATATAAATACGAGTATGATAACCTAATTAGCTTAGGATCGTTATTAGTCGTTTTAGTTGCTTTTTAAACGACTTCAATGAGGAAGTCCTTAGTTCAGTTATATTTTTTTATGTTAGTGTCCTCAGAACTCTGTCATTTTCAAACATTCTTTTTTCATTATGAGAGGGGTTTAGCCCCTTAGGGATAGATTTTTCTTTAATTGTAAATGGAACTTATAATTAAAGATTAATGGCGAAAGGGAATCTAAGGGTGGGAAAATATGGAATAAAGAATACAGTTTGTTACAATTTAGCATTATGCGGCCGTTTTTAAGTCGGTGATACTTTATTTAAGGTTAATTAACTATGTTTGGCCAGCGTGGTATAGTTGACCAAAACCTCCTTTCTAAGGAGAGATATATAACTGCACCCTAAATTTGAAAAACGTGTTCTTGATTTACATTACCATTGGATATTTTTTTTTTTTTAAAGACAACTCCCTCATTAGGAATAAATCCTGTGTCGCGGGGGACTTTACAAACATACATGAAACGGACACAAAGGACACCCAGACTCAGAACAACAATTTGTGGATCACACAAAGTGTCGTCCCATGTGGGGTTTGAACCCACAACACTCGGCGTAGTAGGAAGCGGCGTGGTGACCGCTTAAACCACTACGCCATCCGTGCAGTCAATTTTGAGCAAATTTGACGTACTAAGTCGTACTTGAAGGACTTTTTAGAGATTATTTTATTTAAAAAACGAATATATAGTAAATTACCATTTAAATGTTATAAAATCATTATTATCTGTTTGATTTTAAATTTTTAACTATTACAAAAGAAAAATGGAGAATGAATTTAAATATTAAAGGTTCGATTTAAAGTAAAGTCAGTAGTTCCATAGTAATAAAGTAAATATATAAAGTTCGGTTACAGAAATTTGTCCGTATATCGTCAAATAGATGTTACCAGATACCGCATGAATTACATTACACCGTGACGGGGTCGGTCAAATAAACGTGCATAATATGTCCGGTATTAACTATCATGCGAAACAGTCGATTAATCAAATCAGCCCCCGACTATCCACACCCATATTCATGATATGTGGTGTCATGCCTAAGCCGGGATTGAATGTTCAGCGTGTCCGAACATTTATTAGTTCAGATAAAGAGCACAAATAATTGTGTATTCAGATCGTCGTTTGGCCCAACATCCCAACTTTATACGCAAGAATGGTAAGGTTATAATACAACTCCTTAAGGCGCAGGATATGGGCCACTTTCATCCTGTTGTCCTCAGATCGTGAAATGAGTCATTTATTAGATTAAAATTTAAAAGTTTAGTAATTGATGCAGAATGCACTATGGAGTACTTGCTTCAAGCCGTTTCGCCTGCGCTCGTTTCGGCTTCTCAGAAATATTGACATTGTTTAACGAAGCTTTTTACTAAGATAATTGTTAGATAAGGAACGAGTATTATATATAAATATAGATGGCTAAAGTTTTTACATGATTCTATCTTCTTCAATGATTTTTGAAAAATATTTAAATTTAATATTATAATTATTATACTACTACTATAATTCTTCTCAATTTATAATTTTCGATCTTAATATTATTTAGAATAGTTTATATTCTTGATAGTGACAGGCTATATAAAAACTTCATAAAGATATATATATATATATATATATATATATATGTATATTAGGATACAATACATTTCTATTAATATTTATTGAGCGTCAAATTTCATTATTGGCTTTATTTATTTATGGGTATTTCTATGCAATAAATTTGGTTTGAAGTAAATTCTATGTATCGTAAGGAAGATAGAAGTCACATATAAATATTGGACCTTTGCTCCAACATAGTCGACAAAATAATATTAATTGCAGGGCTAATAAGGAGTTCCGAATACCTGTCTCGTTACTGCCAACCAACCTACGCTGGTTGAGAATTAATCATCCAACCGATGAGACAAGGTGATACTATGTAACTAAATACAAACACTTAGACTAATCCTTTACCTCCTCTCCTAAAAGTCCTTAGTTGCGCATAGTAATGAATTCTGTTAAAAGTAAGTGTTACAACACTTGCCAAAACAGCATTCAAACATTCACTGTGTGTTCGTTATAATACAATTAATCTATAGAAGAGTTCACTTGTGCAAATATCCATTTTTCACTTCTATTAAGTCACAGTAGGTACTTTAGATTCGTATTTGGTAGACAATGGTACGGTGATCAGCTCATGAGGGATAGCAGTAATTACATGTATTTAATATTAATTTGTGTTGATAATAATCATATTTATGAATATTAAAAAAATGCATAACTTATAAGCTATCTATTTATAATAATCAATTAGTATTTCTGCATAGCATTGCGGTAGGTACTGCATACCTATTTCTATGCGTCCACGGGAATTTAATTGATATCAAGTAAGTCTCGTGTTCAGTTAATACAAAACGATAAAACGGTGAATAACATGAAGAGATTAAAGAGTGCTCGTCATTTGAATTTTCCGGAGCCGTGCGTTAACATAGAATAAAAAACTTGCACGTTATACATTTCTAAAACGGCAATTTTTAAGAAAATACTTAAGTGCAGTAATATGAACGCGAGCATTTGGAAACTTTGAATATTTTACATTGTAATGAAACAGCGAACGAAATATTATGAATAATTCACAAGACCACCTGCGTGCCGCATATACGTTAGTTACATTAATAGCTACCGAAATGTTTTTATTAACCAAGTATTTTAATCTGCCTGCTATATTTGCTTTGGTTGACACAGACCTGCTCCAATAGTTCCAATAGTACAAGCTTATACCTATCTGTCACAGAGCATAGCCATTATGACATTAAAACATGTTTATTTTAACTATATATGTGTATATTTAGATATGTTTGTTTGTGTAGTTGGTATTTACAGTAGACTTGGTAGTGAACCATTATGCACTTATACACTATCACGCAAAGAGACGCCAGATGTCATACGCAGTAGGAAAATAAAGATGTAATATAGAACACTGTGTGATGCTATTCAGCGCACACGACTCAACTGAAGGCACGGACAGACCACGGCACGTCCCCGTCTTGGAAAGCGACCCTGCCGAGCCCATCTATGGCGTAGCCCTGATTGCTGCTTTTGGCACCGCTCTAACCATGGCGGTCGTCGGTTTTGCATTCGGATGGTATACGTAAGTACACTATAACAACATGTATTCAACACATAAAATTTAATAAACTAGTGGCAGATACTCGTATTAAACTTATAATAAACTAATTTACAGCCTTTCAAAAAAAGCGAAAGCTGCCGCAGACGTTGACTATCCTGCGTACGGTGTGACGGGACCAACTATGGATACTTCTGGTGACAGGAAACTAGCCCATTCTGCTCATATGTACCACTACCAACACCAGAAACAACAAATCATAGCTATGGAAAGGTAAGACATACCAACTTTAAAGTGTCATGATAGGTAAAAAAAAATAAAGCAGAAAATAATAAAATAAACTGCTTTTCTTTATTATGTTTCATTATATTTCCAATTTGCATTCCGCCACGTTTCAATTAAGCGTAGCGCACATAATTACTTTACGAAAATAACTTTTGTTTACTTAACTTCTAATAATTTCAAAATGAAACTTCATAAAGGTTAAGTGAAGACCTGCTAACTAACTACGAGTATAGGCGTATCTTACTCAGGGTAAGGCATAAGATCGTGAAATTCAATAAACTTTTCTGAAATTATAAATTATATCACAAAAAGAAAAAAGAAAATTAATTTTAAGATCAATTTGCAGGAATGGTTTAGAACAACGTAACGGCTCTGTGTCAGACCCTGAGTCTGAGGAGGAAAATGAGGAGGGAGACTACACCGTGTACGAGTGCCCCGGGTTTGCTACGGTAATAACCTACACTTTGTATTAAGTTGCCGCCTGTCGCCCACAGATCGGTTTCACCCAATTGGAGACTTGTTCTACAGACACCATTGCTTATTATCGAAAATTAAATTAAAGCATGTTCTGAACTTTCTATTTAGTATTGTAAGATTTTCAGCCCATGTAAGTGTTGATTAATTGGTGATTAAATAAAAAGAAAGATATTGGTCTCTACGTTACAGACGTGTCATAAACGTTACACACGAACCCTTCTTCTCTTACAATATGAATCATCCGCACAAGCATTTCATATTGTAAGGTACTAAATAATTTCAGAAATATTTAATTTCTTGACACGTACACTTTTATTCTAGTTATGTACTAACAATTTAAACTTTTTGTGTGAAAATTTCATCCGTACCGCTTCGAAGAAGGAAGTTCCGTAATTTTAAATACTATACGTTAATTGTTTACGTTAATAGTATACTAGTACAGGCTGAGTGTTCAGATGAAAACAACACTGACTGATTTTTCAATCGGATAAATGTATGTTTTTAAAAAGATTACTTTGGAAAAAAAATTATTAAGTTGCCGCATAATTTGCGAAAATGTAAAAATAGGTGCTACCGAAAAACTGTGCGCGATCAGTAAGGAAGCATCCAACGGCAATTTAAAACATACTTTTTAAGAAAAAAATAAACCGCCGAAAAAACTAAAAAGGAAAAATAATAAACCTTTTTTATTGGACCTGTATAACAAAGATCTTAAACTAATGTAAGTATACCTAAGTATATATATTTATAATTATTTAGAGTTTTTAATTACCGTTACTTACTTAGGTATACTTACATTAGTTTAAGAACTTAGTTATTAAGGTTAAATAAAAAAGGTTTATTATTATGCGTCGGTTAAATTTTTTGTTTAAGTTTTTATTTTAATTTTTTTTGTTGGTATAGTCTACTAATTACCACATGCTTAAGTTGGTATTTTTTGTTTCCAAATTTATATGGGACCAATTTCGGGATATACCCTATCTAATAAAAACAGAATTATCAAAATCGGACTTTCTGAAAAAAGTAATGCGTGGTCGACTTGAGAACCTTATCAGTTTTATCGTCGGTTAAAAATGTTTTTTTTTTTGTTAAGAGTTTACAACCTCTGCATAATTTTAAATCTCCCAGAAGCATGCAACCTGCTATATTAAATACGTATTATTAGTTAGATTAAACTTGAAGGTGCAAGTAATTTTATGTCTCATTAGAAATAAATGTAATGTAAAATATTATTAGCCTTATAACTCATACTTGTGAACAATAAGCACGTAATAAGAATGTGCTCTAAAATATGTTGTAATGTAAGCTGTATTAATCCACAGACGGGCGAGATGGAAGTGAAAAATCCGTTGTTCTCCGATGATCCGACACCCGCAACCCCCGGCAAATGTGAATTGGTGAAGCCTCAACCAAAGGATTAATTGTTCATTACCTCCGCACTTGCCCGCAACCTCATACACGCCTGGCAATCGATAGTTATTTGTGTATTACATTTATATTACATACTTAAAAACTTTTAACAAAATCTTTTGTCTGTTCTAGAGTAAATTAACTGTAATACAGGCATATTCTAGATGGATATATAACTGAGATAGTGTATTTAAATGTATGCTAATACGTAGTAAACGTAGGATATTAGTGTATACCTACGAACTACCTTCAGTGTCGTTCCAAACATCTTGAGAACGCTTGAACATTTAAGCATCTTACCAGAAAAGTTATCGTTTAAAAAACGTTACCTTTTAAGTAGCATCTTAAATATGACAGATATCTTACCATTTAAATAGAATAAACAACTTAAATATTAATTATATATATAATACATAAATGGTTATCCTAACAGTGTAAGTATAACAGTTAAAATTTAATGCTTTGTAATGAATAACTTAATATCTCTATTTCATAGCCATCTGAAATTCTCAGGTAATTTAAAATGATTTATGAAAAGATTTCTATTACATGTAAGTAAGTATTATAGTACAATTTATTATTTTACCGTTAACATCTTCAATAATAATTAATAGTTTTCTATAATAGCTATACTATAAATAACCATATCACCCATCTACAACTCCCCAAACATATTAAAAAGAGTTATAAAGTGAATACCTTCCTTTCTTCTAAAATGAAAGGTTTATTTAAATCCCCACTAAAAACTGCACTACCACTACCACTGACTAAAAACTGCACGCCATCTCTGGTACTGGTAGCCGGGAACCAGGTGTACCCTAAGTAAGGAAATCCTTGGTACCTCGACGGACCACGGACCATCTACGGCTTGTAGATGACCATCTCCTGTGTGCAAAAGCAGATAGGGAACCCTTTCTGTTCCCGAAAGAGGCTGCTTCTACTAGGGTGACACGATCACAAGGAAACACCAAGTTAATTATTAAAAAAACAACAAACCCGACTGCGTGAAAGTGAATGCTTAAAACTTTCAAGTCAGGAATTTATTTTTTTATAATTTAATATACCCAGTGTCATTCTCACAACTAAGACGAATCTAATGACACCTCAAAGGCCAAAATCCATCCAATCCATCTCCGTTTAGGCTACAGAGCATGCCAAAGAATGCCTTAATACCGGCACACAAAAGTGTGCTCCGCGGCGTCCTGATGCGCCGTAGAATGTAAAGAGGGGTGCCGTGAGGCGATCCTCTGTCATTATCCAAAACCAAAAGTATTAGCGGGTAACAACGATATTTTACGCGCCGATAAGTACCTACGCGCGCTTGAAAACCGTTGATACCCTTTACCTCCCACGCCTTGACCCGTTCGCTTGCTAGCATGTTTATTGACAAGCGAGTCGCGAAGGTACGGACGTGTCGTAGTGTTTTATTTTAATTGAGTCGCTTTGTTTTTCTTCAAAACTCTCACGCAAAATGAACAGATTTTTATGAACAAAGCGGGGAATGATCCCCGCTTTAAAAAACTGTGTAGAGGTTATCAAGCTCACCCGTCACATTGATTTTTGTTTTTGTAAGTCCCTCTTGTTGTTTTTTGTTTCAATTCAGACAATAAAAAACACTTCATATGGTAGATGTTTTAATTTTTGAACCTATCTACCTAACTATATTATTGTGGGTACCTAGTTCTTTCGACTGTTATCGGTCAAATAGCTATCTAGGGTAGAGCGTCATGAAAAAATACTAAATCTTATAAGTGCGCTGCTGACTGAAAAAGATTAGGACCCCCTGCCTTAACAAAATAACAAAACAAACATTTTTTTGCTTTTCAAATCAACTTTGCTAATTTTTATCATATTCGGTAATAAAAGGGAGGTATGAAAATTAAAAAAAAAGAAACAAATTTCAGCTAGTTAACATGCTGCACTAAAGAAAATAGTAGGTATAGGTATATAAATAGTGCCTGTAAAGTCCGACTTGTAAAAATATCTCAAAAGATTTACTTACAAAAATAAATATCATTTACACTCGAAAACGTAACCCTCCTCCTGGCGCAGTCGGGTAAAAATTTGATTTGTTTTTAATAAAATATGTACTGAACGGTATCTCTAGGTATCGTTCATAGCTATTAAACGATCCCTATATTTAGAATGTATCAACAAATGGAATTGAATATTTAGCCTAATTAAGATGTAAGATCTGTATAAAGCCACAGATGAAGCCATAGCAAGTAAAATGATACAGATACTAGTCTAAACTTAAATTTTCTATAGAACATTTACCCCTGTACCACTAAATAAATTGCAATTGTATATATTTAGATGCATTATATTCGAATTGGACAAAATTAAAAACTTGGGCTTATTTAGGATACTTAAAAACCCGTCTTATGCTACATTTTGACACGTTTTTATGTGTATAATAATTTGGATTGTAAAAATTTGCTGTGAAATATAAATCTAAAGAAGGCAGCTTACCTCCCTACATATCTTCTACAAATTTACCTTTGTACTACTTCCTAAAAAATATATGCAGTAAATTATAAGTACATATTATGACATAATTGTATAAATTTTAATGCGATACACAACAAAGAGACCTCAACGTAGGATTTGGTACACTGTTCCTAAATATGACTACACATAGTAAAAAGAGATATTTAAATTAAATTAATATGTGTTATGTAGGTGTCTGATCTGTGTAATCTATCGTAGAAATTCAAACAAAAATATATGTATTAATGTCCGTGTTTAATTGATAAATCGCAGTTATATTATTAACTGTTCAGCTATAGACACCCATAAATATTTGTCTTATGATCAAATTCAACTTTCTCTATAACTAAGGCTACCATAAACCTCTTTGTATAGCAGAGGTCTTTAATTAGATATTTTATGTATTTTACAGATTAAAGATCTCATTGAAGTAATTATGACTTTACATTACAATATCTGTTTAAGTAATATAAGTCGACTTCAGCTGTTTGATTACATTTTAAATAATATAAGATATTTATATTTACTATAAATCACCCTCTACATATAGAGTGACAACTACGGTTTTTTAGTAAGCACACTCTTTTTATTTTTAATTAGATATATTAAAAGTGAAATCGAAATGTACTAAGAGTTTATGATTGGGAGCATGTTAAATGAATTAGGTAGGAATTCAATTGGTCCTAGTATTCAACGTTATCATGCACTACAAAGTATATTGATAAGAATTTATGTTAGCAAAGCAAATGCCATGACACTTAAAGGCTTTTCGCAAGGCCGGTGTCCAATATCCTCGCATACAAGTAGTAAATTCATGCACCTTATCTTTGTCATTGTAATAATCTAAAGTAAGTAAATATATTTTAATATATTATAAAATGAGTGTTAAATAAATTGATGTTATTATCATATTAATCATATACTTACCCCAGTAGTAAAACATATATATTAATTATGAAATTATATCTGCTAGATATAATTTTATATAACCTAGACATAATCAGTTATTTTTCGAATATTTATGTACCAATTCGTATTTCTGTCAATTGAAAATTGACTGAGATCTGGGTCTCACCGTGCCACAGTGTCCTAGGATCAACTATGAAAAATCCAATGTCATACAACTAGTCAATATTTTTACTTAAAATTTATAATATTTTCATGTATGTTACGCGTGTCCTGAAATCTGGCCCAAGGTCAGAATCAGGTTGATGAGTAGGTGCATGAGTATTTGGAATGACATTCTGAGACTTGAAATTGGTTCAAGGCAGAAAGTTCACTCTCAAGCTATAGAACTGAATGAAATGTCTGAACTATAGATATTGTCACAAGGGACGCACAGGGCCATTTTTGTTTTCTTGATTGTGACTACGATCATCATGCAAATTGATGATCGTAGTCTCCACTGTATATGAGACGCAGTCGAGATTACGATCATCAAATCATCATACAAACATGACACCAATCAAGTAAGGGATGGTCAAAGTGAAATGAACGAGTAGAGAAGGGATGTAACAGTCACCGTCTATAAAAAAGAATATGTACTGTCATAATTATATTTGTTTTTTTAAATATAATATTAATTAATTTGTTTCAAGCATCTTTATGAACGTCATTCTTTATTAAAGAAACCCTTTATCCCTGTGAACCTGCCAATATATATTATTTACCCAAGTATTAATAGGTATATGGCCTCAAATACCATCATTTTAAGATTAAGATTAAATTTTATCCCAAACATGAAGAAGATATTCTACCGAGTTAAGTATGCCTAAGTATTGATCAAAGTTAAATATTAAATTATCATGATAAAATATCAAAAAAATAATTGGTGTATCAATTTTATGAATAGTAGTAAATTATTTCTGAGAATATATTTAGCTATAAATGGATTAATGTGATATATTACATTACACATATGTATACAAAGCATGTCTTGTTATTAATTATATAGTCCCCTACTGAAAGCCATTTAATTAGGATTAAACCACCCGCACCAGGGGACTTCCTTTCTAGGGTATACCTGGTTCCCCGGCATGGCCCGAGACGGCGTGCGGTTTTAGTCGGTTCGAGTCCGACATGCCACCGACAGGTGGTATCCGAGGGGATTTCCGCACGGAAAAAAAAAAAAAAAAAAAAGGATTAAACCACCCACACTCTCACTGTGAGATTAAGTAATTAATCAAATACCTGACCTATCGACGAGTCCCATGATAAGATGAAAAACGGCAATTAAGAGAAAAGGTGTTTTTTAAAACAACTCCCTCACTAAAAGATCCTGAATCGCGAGGTACTTTACAAACGTTCATGAAAAGTATTCAAGGAATACCCAGACTCAGAACAACAGTTTGTGGAGTAGGGAGCGCCGAGGTTAACGCTTACCACTGCGCCATCCGTGCAGTCTATAAGTAAGTAGGTAAGCATTAGAAGTCGAGTACATTTGATAAGAAGTAAGCTTTAAATAGGGCAAGCCCTTTACTGCCTTATCAAGGGATATAAATGTACAATAGTCGAGATAATC